GAAGCAGAGGGAATGGAGAGAGGTGATGGGAAAGGACAAAAGCTTTCCAAGGTGGATAGTGAGAGGCCTCCAGCCTCTGAACAGCATTTTTCTTTTCTTTTTTCTTTCTTTCTTTCTTTCTTTCTTTCTTTCTTTCTTTCTTTCTTTCTTTCTTTCTCTTTCTTTCTTTCTTTCTTTCTTTCTTTCTCTTTCTCTCCCCCCCTCTTTTTCTTTTTCTTTCTTTCTCTCTCTTTCTTTCTTTTTTCAAGACAGGGATTCTCTGTGTGGCTCTGGCTGTCCTGGGACTCACAATGTAGACCAGACTGCCCTCAGTATCACAGAGATTCTCTGTGGCCTCTGCCTCCTGTGTGCTGGGATTAAAAGCATGCACCACCACTGTTGACTAGCATGTTCTGCAGAACACATAGAATGAACCCACTGTGTGACAGGGAAGCTGAGGTACCAGTCCTTAACCTTACCAAATTCCATTCATAGGAAGTGCCCAGAACAGAAAACCTACATACAACATAAATGAAATAGACTAATGTTTGCTTAGGGCAAGGAGGAGGGACCTGGGATTAGCAGTGCCTTAGGGTTTTTATTGCTGTGATGAGATGCCAAAAGCAACTTGGGAAAGAAAGGATTTTTTGCTTATACTTCCACATCCCATCAAAAGAAGTCAGGGTGGGGGGAACCTGGAGGCAGAAACTGAAACAGAGGCCATGGAGGAGTGCTTCTCATTGGCTTGCTCAGCCTGCTTTTTTATAGGCCAAGGGTGGCACTGCCCACAGTAACCTGGTCCTTTCTACATCAATCAGAACAAGATGACAGCCTACAGACTGGGAAAGGATCTTCACCAACCCTATATCTGACAGAGGACTAATATCCAGAATTTATAAAGAACTAAAGAAGCTAAACACCAACAAACCAAGTAATCCAATTAAAAAATGGGGTACAGAGCTAAACAGAGAATTCTCAATAGATGAATACTGAACAGCAGAGAAACCTTAAAGAAATGTTCAACTATACAACAAAGACATTTGCTCAAGCATGTTTGTAGCAGTTCTATTCATAATAACCAGAATCTGGAAACAACCTAGATGTCCTTCAATGGAGGAATAGATACAGGAATTGTGGTACATTTACACAATGGAATGCTACTCAGCTATTAAAATCAAAGAAATCATGAAATTTGCAGGCAAATGGTGGAAACTAGAAAAGATCATCTTGAGTGAGGTAACCCAGAAGCAGAAAGACACACATGGTACATACTCACTTATTAGACCTATAATATAGGATAAACAGTAAAATCTATAGTCCTAAACAACAAGGAAGACCCTAGGGAAGATGCTCAATCCTCATTCAGAAGGGCAAATGTGCTAGACATTGAAAGCAGAAGACAGGGAACAGGGCAGGAGCCTACCACAGACCGCTTCTGAAAGACTCTGCTGATCGAGGTATCAAAGCAGAGGCTTAGACTCATAGCCAAACTTTGGACAGAGTGCATGGAATATTATGGAAGAAGGGGGAGATAGAAAGATTTGGAGGGGACAGGAGCTCCAAAAGGAAACCAACAGAAGACCCCCTCCCCCCCCAAAAAAAAAAAAACCTGGGCCCTGGTGGCCCTGAAGAGACTGATACCCCAACCAAGGACCATGCATGGAGAGGACCTAAAACCCCTGCTCAGATGTAGCCCATAGACTCAGTCTCCAAGTGAGTTCCCTAGTAAGGCGAGCAAGGGTATGTCTCTGTCATGGACTCAGTGGCAGGCTCTCTGATCACCTCCCCCTGGAGGTTGGGAGGCAGTCTTGCCAGGCCACAGAGGAAGACAATGCAGCCAGTCCTGATGAGACCTGATAGGCTAGGATCAGACAGAAGGGAAGGAGGACCTCCCCTATTACTGGACTAGGGGAGGGACATAGGAGAAGAGGGAGAAAGGAGGGATTGGGAGGAGATGAGGGCGGGGGCCACAGCCAGGATACAAAGTTAATAAATTGTAAAAATTAATAAAAATAAATAAATAAAAGAAAAAGAAAATGCATCGTAGGCTTGTCCACTCTAGTGGGGGCATTTTCTCAATTGAGGTTCCATCTTCCAAAAGGACTCTCACTGGTTGGTCAAGTTGGCATAAAACTGGGCAATGCAAGTATATTGATGATTGATGATTGATGGCTTCTTGGTTTGGGCTCTTTTTAGGGGGTGGGAGGATAAAAGTGCCCTAAAAGTTACTATAGTTGCACAACTCTAACACAAATCTAACCTCATGGGTTGGATGCTTTCAGTGAACTGCATGGTGTATATAAGTTTTTCTGTCACTACAGGCTTTGTTCACCAGTATCAACTGTCCCTCCCTCAGCAGATGGTTCAGGGTTTCCATGTTGACTCTGTTGCCCTTCTAAGCAACAGATGGACATGGTGGCCTTCGCCTGTAATTCCAATAATCGGGAGGCTGAGGTAGGAGAATTGCCATGAATTTGAGGCCAGCCTCACTCACTTAAGAGGTATGTTCCTTCTAGGAGATGGACACGACTCTGGTTTTGGCTCAAGTCTACTTCAGCTGAGGGGAATTAACTTTCACTCGCCCATTACTGCTTTCTTTGTGATGGATCTCATTACCTAGAATTTATCAACCTCCTGTCCCAGTCTTCTGAGTGTTGGGTTACAGATATGTACATATTTGTCATTTATTTCTGAGTAGCTGAGATACTTTGAGCTTCTGATCTTCCTGCCTTCATGTTCCATGCGTGGATTACAAGCATGACCTACTACGTCCAGCTCTTCACCACTTCAATGAAGAATACAAGACACTTCATTGCTCACTTATGTAACAATTACTTTATTTTTCATACCTAGAATTCCTTCAGGACTTCAAGGCCCCATGGGATCTGGCTATAGCGAGACTAGTGCTTGCTCCTGTTTACAGGGTCTTCCAACTTTGGTTTCTTTATGGATTGTTTCCATGCTACAAGGTGGCTGATTGATAAACATTTGCTAGATGTGCTTGCTGGGTGTGGCGACTCACACTTGTAAACCCAGCTCCTGGAAGACTGAGGTGAGGCTTGCTTGGGTGTAAGGTATGTCCCAGGCACCTGAGAGGGTCCATGAGGGAATGAAGGAATGACAGATACATGGACACACAAAAAAACTGGGAATTGGGTGGATAGAGCTCTCTGATGGAGAAACCACAGGACCCTGGAAGCACTTCCTGTTTGTGGTAGAGAGTTAAACAGAGACAGGTTTATTACATACAGTTGAATGCGGAGGTGGGGTTTGGTATACAGTTTGATCAAGGAAACAGGTTCAGCTAGTCGGTAGGAGCGGTCTCTGTGAGAAAGCAGTCTTCAGACTGTAAACTGTTCAGAGGGAGAAAGCTACATATTCTGCACCACTATCAACAACTACAAACAGACCAGAAGGGAAGCCTTTGCCATTTCCCCAGGGGGTGGGGAAAGGGATTGAGGTCCCTGACATGGCTCTGCCCATATAAACAGCATGAATTCACTCAGAATTTCACTCACTAGGGGCCTCCCCCGACCCCCCATCCTTAGGGGTGACCTTGAGTGGTGGTTGGAATGAGAATGGCCTCCATAGGCTTATAGATTTGAATGCTTGGTCCCCACTGGTAAAATTGCTTGGGAAGCATTAGGTGTGGCCTTGTTAGGAGGTGTAGCCCAGCTGGGCTCTGAGATTTCTAAAGCCCACTCCATTCCCAGTTAGCTCTCTGCCTCAGTGCTGTCTCAATGTGAGCTCATGGCTTACCGTTCCAGGGCAATGCCTACCTGCTTGCCGCCATGCTCCCGGACATGAGCATGACTTCACCCTCTGAAACTGTAAGCCCCAATAAAATCTTCCTTCTCTAAGTTGCCTTGGTTTATGGTGTCTCTTCATAGTAACTAAGACAACTTGTCTCCAAAAATCCACTTCCCCCCATATACTAACATTTTTCCTGGGTGTGGTATCTTCTTTCTTACTGAGACAGACTTGCTATTATAGTCCTGGCTGCTAGCTCAGGCTGGCTTCAAATTTATAGCAATCCCCTGCCTCAGCCTCCCAAATGCTTTTTATAGGTTGGTACCACTATGCCTGGCTGATGTAAGCCACATGCTGCTTAGAGACAGAAGAGGCACTGTGCCCTGACTGTCACTTGATGAACATCAGATGGTTAAACCATCAATAGAAGGTACCTTACAGGCTGATTGATGCAGTCTGCTGTTGGCATTGATTTGGTCAGAGGATGGCCTTCATAACTATGACTTCATGGCTCAGACAGAAGCTTTACTGAATCCTAGTTTGCAAAACTGAATGTTATGCAGGAATGCATACATTTCTGTAGAGGTTCCCTCCCCCACATAGGGATTATGAAAACATCCCTATGTCTGAAATAAAGCCTAGCTGCTGACCCACCTCCTTTTTCATTCCTGTGAATCTTTTCAAGTAGGTGAGCTGTGAGCAATGCTTCCCTTGTGGGATGATGTCAGTGTAGAAGGTGGTGCTCTCCAGGAGTTACTCGTGTGGGTGGGTGCACGTAGTGGTCAGAACTCCTCCAACCTTTACACAGATTCTAGAGATTGAACTAAGGTGGCCAGGTTAGTGTGACAATGCCCCAGCAGCCCAGCCCAGGAACTTTTAAAAAACCACCCACGCTGGCCCTCTGCCACATCAGGGATATGCATCTGGAAAATTAATTCAAGTCCTAGTCATATTTTATTTTTAACAGCTTTCTCTCCATTTTTACACTTTGTGTACGGGTGTTTTGCTTGCATGTGAACCACTTGTGTGCCTGGTACCCATCAAGGCCAGAAAAGGTCATCAGAGTCCCTAAAACTGGAGTTATCTATGGTCATGAGCTGCCATGTGGGCGCTAGCAACCACACCTGGGTTCTGTGGAAAGGCAACCAGTGCTTCTAACCGCTGAGCCGTCTCTCCAGTTATCCCTGCCCTAGTCATGTTTTGACAAATTAAAATTATAACATGAATTATACGAATGGCAGCTTACCTATTTAAGACATTAAAAATATCAATTAGTAACAAATTAATTTTAATAACTTTTTAATAACTCAGAGTTAATGTGCGTTTGTGTGTATGTCTACACACATGCCCATCAACCTTTTGCAGGAGAAGACTTCTGGGACACCTCAATGACTACTATAGCCACAGCAGGTGCTTCCAAAAGGCTGTCTTGATGTCAAGACTTCTGGGTGAGTCTGTGCTCCACAAGAGCAGGGTCATCCACAGCACCAGCGTCTGGAGAGTGTCACAGGCAGCCGTGGCTACTTCTTGTCCACCTGCACAGTGCAGATGCCATTTCTGTTCAGCAACTTCACATGTCCAGGTGCTTGTAGAGCCTACGACTCTTCTCTTTTTTGTTTCTGTTGCCGTGTTTTTTCCAGGGCTTCCCAGCTACACTCTCAGCACTCACAGCAGCTGCAGGCACCAGGCCACTCCCAGGCTTGTAACCCATCACAGCCTGGACTCCTTTGGTCAATGCTCTGACATTCTCCTGGAGAGAGAACGAGACATGAACAGGCTATCTCCTTTAGGGCATGCGCACTGTGCTGTTTGTGCAGCTTCTGTCTCACTCCTGCCCTCACAGGCTAGGCCTCTCAGCACTCTCTTAGTTCACCTCTTTCCTGACCTTCCTTGTTGACTCTAGTCCAGAAGCTTCCAATGTCTAAAACCATCCAAAACTATCCAAATTTTCCTGGAAATTTTCTATTTTTTCTTTTCTTTCTTCTTCAGGGTCGTACTGCATAGTTCAAACAAGTCTTGAATTAATGATTCTCTGCCTCTTGAGTCCTGGGATTGCAGGTGAACACCACCAACATATAGCTTGAATCTCCATAGATGTCAGATTCAAGCTGCTCCAGCTCACATTAGATGTAGACACTCAGGAAATACTAAGTTTATTTAAAAATATGAATAAAAATTAAAAAATAATAACCCATGATTGTCACACACAGTAAAATATTACCCTCAAGGGTGAAGGTTTAGATAGACGTTAAATCTGACACTGAAAAACGCTAGCGGCTACGATGAAGCGATGGCAGTTACTAAGATTTTACTCACTTATCTGTTGTGTGCACAGCCATAAGCTAAGCACAGCTTCACAAACAACCAAAGCACTCTCAGTATTTTCTCACAAGATGTGAAAACACATGATACACAAATACACACACCCACACCTAGCAACATAATCATATTGGCAAAAAACAACCTAAATGCCTGATAAATGGAAGATGATCTATGGCACTTCTTTACAGAGCCTTATTTGCAATAAAAAGGAATGATGTATGGACTCATGCTCCAACACAGGTGGAGCCTGGAACAGCTAAGCAAAGGCACGACTCCATTCATGTGAATTGTCCATAGCAGACAAACCCACATACAGAGAAAAGCAGGCTAATGGTTGGCATGGGAGAGGGGAGAGGAAAGGCGGCTCACAACCATCAGTTGTGAGTGTGTACACTACATGTCTGTCAGAGCCCGTCTCATGATGTGGGTGCTGGGAATCAAACTCAGGTCCTCTGGAAGATAAGTAAGTGCTTTTAACCACCAAGCCACCTCTCCAGACCACCAGATATTTACAGCAGTAAATATTTTGATTTTTAAATGTATTAGGTAGGAAGTTAAATACAGACTTTAAAAAACTTACCTGATGGAAAAAAGATTTGTCGACAACATTTTCAATCTGTTTGACTTTTTGGTTTCTGCCTGGCTGAAGTCTTATTTCTTCACCTTTTGTTTTGTTCTCTAGGAGTTGCTGGTGTTGATGCTGGAAGGTCACAGGGTCCCTTCCAGGAGGAGGGTGGCAGTACAGCAGTTTACCCTACAGAGACAACAGGAATGACAGCAGCTCATTGGAACTGTATTACCTTCCCAAGGAGAGCAAAGGTCCTCAAAGCAATGTGTCAGCAGGAACAGGCTGAAGGAGCTTTCTGTGGTAAGCTGGGTTTGGTTTGCAGTAACTGCAGAGTCCTAGCTCTAACAAACTAGCTCCTCACAGGACCCTGGGGTTTACAAGGAACCCGCCTTCTTTGCGGCCTTTCTTTTACTTGTCCTTCATTTCTACTAAGTATTCTCAGTGCTCTTTATGTCAGGACTCACTAATCCTGGGAATATTAGGTTACAGTCTGAAATCAAGATCCTTTCTAGGGGCTGGAGGGATGGCTCAGTGGTTAAGAGCACTGGCTCTTCTTCCACAGGTTCTGAGTTCAATTCCTAGCAACCACATGGTGTCTCACAACATCTATAATGAGATCTCATGTCCTCTTCTGGCATGTAAGTGACCTACAGATAGAGCACTCATTTACATAAAATAAATAATTCTTTTAAAAGCTCCTCTCTGAGGGCTGGGGCTGCGTCTCAGGGGTAGAGGACCTGCCCAGCTTGTGTTACATCCACAGGTCACTCCTATCACCACTAAAACAAAACACCCCACTTGGTATCAGCCCATTTCAATGGAAAATTATGTCGTTAACAGGCTACGTTAGCTAAGAACACAGCGTATGGAGAGAAAGCTTGCTTAGTCAATGGCAGTCAGGATCACGAGTCACTTACTTTGACATAGTCCTTTAGGATATACCGTGCAGATCGAGGTTGGTCAGGTTGTCCGTGTGCTGTCATGAATCCTCGCATGCCTGTGAGAGGAACCCAGTGTGTGAAAGCTCAGTTAGGAGTCAGCATCACAGCAGAGCGACTGAGGTGATGCGCAGCATCTGGTCCTTTCCCACAGCCCTACAACAAATTAATCTTCTCTCACCCTAGAACGTACTTTATCAGCATTTGCTAATGCAGAGTGGACTGTGCAGCTTTCTCTAATTCTTTGTTTGTTTTTTGAAACAGGGTTTCTCTGTGTAGTCCTGCTATCCTGGAGCCCACAGAGTCCATCTGTCCTAAGGGCTGGGATTAATGGCGACCAATCAAATTAAAGGCCAGCCAGAACTGCTTTGTCTACTTAGCAAAAATAATTTACGTCCAGGGTGACTACCCTGTCCCACTGTCGCCAACCGCACTCCACCTCTGCCCCCGTGTGAGCTAATTGTAGTTTTTGCCTTTATAAGCTAACTCCAAAAGATAATGTCACAGTTTGGCTCCCAAGTCCACTGTGTCCCTGACCATGGTCAGCCTTGGAGTGTTGTGTTCAATAAACCGTCCACTGAGTGGCTTGTGCGGCTTCCTCTGGACCCTAACCGATGCCTAGTGACCCTCTCCAAATTTTGCCTGTGATTTACAATGAGAGACAACTCACATCCATAAGCCGTCAACAGTTCTTCTGAGCTCGGAGGTCGATAGGGGTCTTCATCTTCTCTAGGCTTTATAATGTTAATACCGTAGGTAGCTTCCAAAACGTACCGTGGGATATGCTGGCAAATGTGAATTTGTCAAGGAATCCTCTCTTGAGCTGCGTCCTATGCTGCCAGTTACTTCACTGCTTCTGACACACGTTCTCTAAGCAGAGAACAGTCTTACACACCAATCATCACCTTAAATGGATCCTTTAAAATAATAAGCCAGGCCAGGTGTTGGTGGCACAGGCCTTTAATAGCAGCACTTGGGAGACAGAAGGATCTCTATGAGTTTGAGGCCAGCCTGGTCTATAGTGAGTTCCAGGACAACCAGGGCTACACAGAGAAACCCTGTCTGAAACAAACAATAGAACCCCCCCAAATTCCCCAAGGCCCCCAAACCAAACCAAAAACAAGCCAGATGGCTTACAACTGTAATTTTAGCACTAGAAAGTCTAAGTTTAAGGCCAGCCTGGGAAACATAGTGAGTTCTGGCCTAGCCTGAGAAACACTGTGAAACCCAGTCTTTAAACATACATAAAACAATCATTAAAATATTATTTCTGGAGCCAGGTGTGGTGGCACACACCTGTAATCCCAGCACTCCGGAAGGAAGAGGCAGGCAGATCTCTGTGAGTTCAAGGCTAGCCTGGTCTATAAAGCAAGTACAGGACAGCCAAGGCTACACAGAGAAACCCTGTCTCAAAAACCAATACCCAAACAAAAAAAAAATTCTTTCTGAGGCTAAAAAGGTGGTTTAGTGGCTAAGAACACTTCCTACTCTTGCAGAGGACCATGATTCTATTCCCAGCACCTCACAAAACAGCTCACAATTGTATGTAACTCTAGTTCAGAGGATCCAATGCTCTCTTCTGACCTTCAAGGACACCAGGCATGCAAGTAGTACACAGATACACATGCAGGCAAACACACACATAAAACAAACAAACAAACAAATCTCTGAAAGAGACCTTAACAATATTACTTTAAGGAACAATATCATAAGCCAACTCTAACTCTGAGAGAGAATCCTAATGGAGATACAAAGGAGCACACCGTTGTTCCTAATGCCTACAATTACGCTGACAGAAGGCAGTGCCTCGAAAATGCTCAAAGGCTCCCATGCACTAGTAACCAGACTGGAGCTGAAACAAAGGATATCAGTGACATGGGTGGAACGTGATCTCTCATCTGGTCAATCGGGAGGATCCCACTGCAAATCATCTCTGCTTTGGTCGACACAAAGGACGGCATCACCAGGCCCGGGCAGTCACACAGGCAGAGGCCAGGCTCCACAAACAGAGTCTGAAAGACACACCGAAAGTTATGACACACACATAGCAAGTGAAAGAGGAGTAGTGCTGTGGCAAAGGACTGGGAAATACCTGGAAATGCTTGGTGTGGCCTGGAGTGGCAGACACAGACACTTTCTTGTTGCCCATGATGGTGTTGATGGTTGAGCTCTTCCCAACATTAGGGTAGCCCACCTAGAAGAGAAGCAGAAGTTACCTGAGTGGTAGAGATGCCAGCTGAGGGCCTGGGTGCTTCTTTAGCAGACGCTCTGTATGTCTCTTCACCTTAGACTCATGTCTGACACGTGTTGGGCTATGTGCCCTTTATTTCTACAGGTGTGGCTGCTGTCCCTGCAGCACACCTCATTCCCTTATGCCCAGCATGCTCCCTGACAAGGCACTTCATTGTTTCCACTGCATCTTCAACAATGGGATGAAGCTAAGCACCAGACAAACAGTAATTCCAGCTTCTGAGCACCTAGAAACTTGCGCCCTTTCAGTCAGGGCCCAGCACAATGAGGCAAGCGATGTACAGATGTCTGCAGAATAGTAAGTTAAGTTACTCTCCGGATTCCCAGAGTCAAGAATTCAGAAAGGAAGGGAGGCTACTTCATTTCTATAAATCAAAGACATAGGTAGAGCAGCCAGGCTTCTAATACACGTGAAAATGAATTTTTGGATGAGAGAATATAGCCTCAAAGCTCATCCTACAGGCAGACCTTCAGCCAGCACACTACAGTAAAATGCCCTTTTACTCCAGCAGTTGTTAAAATCACCCTTATTATGTGTGTGGGCGTTGTGCCTTCATTTGTGTATGCACCGGAGGTGGGTGATGCTCACGGAGGCCAGAAAAGGGTGTCAGATCCCTGTTGCTGCCTTGTGGGTGTTGGGAGCAAAATCCAGGTCCTCTCAACTGCTACCAGTGCTCTCAACTGCTGAGTCGTATTTTTAGAGCCTACAGTTTAGGTTTCTTTCTCGGTGGTGGGATACGAGATACAGAAGAGAAAGAGGCCAAACACAGTTAGGATTAGTTACACCTAACTTTAACCCGAGAGCTGAGAGACTCAACTGCTCTGACTTCCTTTCCTCATCCTGTTTTGCTTCCCTGGGAAGATCTTTATTATAAATACTGTCCCTAAGGACTGGTAAGTCCTTAGCTAAGACTGGACCATCTAAAGCCATGCTATATCCTTGGGGTATAGCACCTCTACAACCACAATTTGGTAATATGGGAAGAGAGCTGTTTTTTCCCATTTTTCTTATGTTTATGCAATGAAAGTATCTGGCCCTAATGGCATCTGAAATGGTATTAGCTGGCAAGGATCACAAGATGTCAACAGAACACCGCACTGAAGTCTGGCGACATCAAAAACTTCTCATTCTCATCTCTCAGTAACTGATGACAAAGATCTGAACTGAAGAAGACTAGAATACACTTAACATAAACATGTATGGAGACAACATAAGCCCTGAGATGTTCCTTTAAGCTGGACTCTGCCTCACACTGCCTCACCCCCTGATGCCTGACTGCCTGGGTCCATGTGTAGCTCGGGAAGGATAGGGATTTGTGTGGTGCTAGCTGCATGATGTGCTTCATCTTACCAGCCCAACAGTCAGTTGTCCATCTTTCACCTTCTTCCCAGTGTGTAGCTTCTTAAAGAGCTCCAGTAATTCTTGCTTTGACACCAGGTGGCTACAATTGTTCATTTGCTGACTTTCTGTTTCTTTTCTGTTCTGAACCTCAGGATCCACAGTACAGTGTTCCTTACAGTCCAGATCACAGCCTTCCTCCTCCTCAGGGATGCTGTCTTCCTCTGAACATGTCTGCCAATCTTCCTCTTCCTCCTCCTCCTGGCATTCCTCATATTCACTGTCATCTTCGTCACTTGCAGACTCCTCACTGAGTGAGAGCAAATCTCTGTGGGCAATTTCACTGTCATCCAAACTGGAGTTTCCAGACTCAGTTCCGTTGGATTCACCAGCAACGCTGTTTACTTGGTCCTGATGAAGCAACAGAAATTCACAAAACTTCAGACCCATGTGACTGCACTTTTCACGCAATAGGCTAGTTACGGAAGGAGAACAGGAATATTATGCTGGAGACAGGCATGTGGATGCATAGAGGCAGCACAACAGACTGCTCAGAGCAAGCACATAGGTAGATTACCAGCAGAGTGCCCTAGGGAGGGCAGGAGAGGCAGACCTTCACTTCCGTTGCTCTGTTTCTACCGTGCTAAGGCTGAGTCCAGGGGCTTTTGCATTATGATGCAAGAACTATACCATTCCCAACCTTGTTTTGCTTTTATAATTTCTTTAAATAACTCAAAAAGTACCACAGACTTCTATGTATGGAAATCAGGGGTTGCAAAATCTTTCTAGATTCGCTATTATTGTTATTGACAGGGTCTCAGTATGAAGACCAGGCTGGCCTCGAACTCAGAGATTTGCCTGCCTCTGTCTCTAAAGTGCTGAGAATAAAGGCATGCATCAAAACACCTGACTGGACAAGACAAGCACTTACTTGGGTCATCTTGCTTGAAGGCAAATACTTTCCTCTCTGAGCTATCTTCCCTGTTCTAGAAATTTGAATCTTTCTATGTGTGCCCTAGCAGATAACATGTGGAATAAATAATGTGCTCAATTAGACTCCATCAATGTTAGTGGTAATGCCAACAGAAATAGATAAGCACTAAGATGAGAGCCCCCAAAATGGTGTCTATGAAATATCTTAAGGCAAAAAAAAAAAAAAAAAAAGAACAATCCGTACAGGAAGGAAACAAGAAGACAAAGAAAAAATCCTCAGATAAAGGATTACGGAGCTAACTTAGCTTCACTGAAGGGATGAATTTAGGACAGAGCTGCCTGAGGCCCTTGTCACTGCTGGAGATACAAGTTACACATCCTCAACTCCAACTAGAGATAAGTGACCATCTGACAGGGAAATGGAGAAAGAAATTTCTTCTTTCAGTTGGAGCTTAGAGCTCAGTAAATAATGAGCTCATTCACAGTCTTTTGTTTTTGTTGTTGAGACAGGGTCTCTATTTGTAGCCTTGGCTGACATAGAAATCTATATAGACCAGGGTAGCCAGGAACTCACAGAGATCCTTCTTACTCTGTTGGGATTAAAGGTGTTCTCCACCATGCCCAGCCTACATAGCACCTACATTCACACCCATCAAAAAGCCAAAAGATGATTGACAGAGATAAAAGAAGAGGGAGAATTACTTCTAAGTGTTTCCTAAATATCAAAGATCCCATGACTAATTTTTTTTAATACACTTCAAATTATTCTAATAAAATTTGTGTTAAAGATATAGCATCATTTTTTTTGTTGTTGTTTTTGTTTTTTCAAGATAGGGTTTCTCTGTGTGGCCTTGACTATCCTGGACTCCCTTTGTAGATTAGGCTGACCTTGAACTCACAGAGGTCCACTTGCCTTTGCCTCCCTGGTGCTAGGATTACAGGTGCATTTCAGATCCTGATAAACACAGACAAGATACTACATTCTTCAGTGTGCCCTGTGAAAGTTCTTAAAACCATCATGAAATGTCCTATACAACTTCTAAAGTTTAAAATATTAAGGTCACAGATATGACAATGGGCATGTCAGATTATATGAAATCACAAAGCATATGTGTGATATGACCAAAGATTCTAAATATTTTCTATAGGCTATCCTGCAATCACAGCACTGGAGAGAGGGGAAGCCCCCAACAAAAATAATTCTTACAAATCGCCAATATAAACAAAGTACATTAATCAGAAATCAAAGTAACCCCACAAACCACTTTGAGAAAGGGCCCCAGTCCCATTACCTTAGAGTCAACATTTAGGTGAACAGTTTCTGCCAAAGCTGACCAGAAAATAACCTTCACACCTTCTTTTTCAAAGTGCGTGGCCCAGGCAAACCGCTGCTCAGCAGTCAACAAGTCTGCCTTGTTTATCAGAATCACGTTCTCCTTGGCAGCATCTATCTCCTTCACGTAACACTCCTATAAAGACAAAGGCATTTCCAGTCTGCTCAAACAATAGTTGGGTTAACTATACTGAATTTTTATTGTCCACCCCACCCCCATTTAAAACCACTTTCTCTCTTTTGAGTTGTTGAGACAGGTTTCTCTGTGTAGTCCTGGCTGCCCTGAACTCAGAGATCTGTCTGAGTGCTGGGATTAAAAGCATGCGCCATCACTCCCATCAGGCTTAAATCACTTTCTTTAAAAAGTTATTTATTATTTTGTGTGTGCGATGTGTGTGTACACACACCCATGCACGCCATAGCATTTTCGTAGGGGTCAATGGAGGACTCTGAGGGATCAGTTCTCTTGGCCCACCTTTACGTGGGCTCAGGGGGTCAACTTAGGTCCCGAGGCTTGTGAAGCAAGTTCCTTTAGAGCTGTGACCAGGAAGCCCTTAAGTCACTTTCCACTAATCAATCCGTTCTGTGAGCTCTGGAAAGAACTGTTCCCACTAGATTTTTGTTACTCATGAGTTTAGAGAAACCACTATGCTCTTCAAATGAAAATTATGTATACCACACATATGCATAATTGCTTTATGGGTTCAACTGTACTACATCATTTTAAGTAATCCTTACCCCTTAGTACTACTCTGGTTTTTATAAGCTTAGCTCATTTGTAAACTAGTATAGGTGTAATTAGGTGTGAAAAGAGAACTTAGGGAGATGGATTAAACAGTGACAATATCCTAAATAAAAGCAAATGCCATTCTGACCGCATTCTGAGAGTTTGGTCTCCTGAAAACAAGAAACCAGCAAATGACTAGCAAAAAAGTGCCTTCTAACCCAGCAGCTAGAATATGGCATGCACATGCCTGTGCTTTCTACAGATGGAAACAATTGCTGAAGCAAAACTGTCCACACAGTGGCAGCACAAAGTTCCCGACCTTGCAAGGACAGGGGAATCTAAGCAACAAGCTATAGAAGACGTCATGCTTGCCCAGTCACTGCTGCCCCACCTTTACTATTCCAAGGATCCAAGTCAAACTTTACTTACCAAATCCTCACATCTAAACAGGAGTGGGTTTCGAGCATCTACTATCTGGACCACAATATCACTGGGGGAAAAAAGTGAGACAATCCGGTTACTGTACAGTAAAAGGGACCATTGATTTTAACACAGTGATTAACACAAAAACTCAGAAGTGGTTAAAATGCAGAGAATAAGTATCTGTGGTGAGCCCGCTCAGCCACAAACAGTACATCTACACCCCACTTCCTTCCCCTTGAGAAAGTGGGGGCAGAACCATTGTAAAAGTCAGAGGCTGAGGACCAGAGTGAAGCAGTTTCTTCTAGAAAGAGTAGGACCAATGTGCTGGTGAACTCGGCAGCTGTGGCTGCCTGCACAAGAGCTGAACAAGATTAGGCTGGTCAATATTCCAGCCTGGAGTGAGAAAGCGGCTCAGGAACTCCTCCCCTAGCCAAGGGGTACTGACATTTGAAGGCTGCCAGAGATTCAGTTTTCTTTATGGTGTGGTCCCCGGTTCATCCACCCTGCTCCAGTGGGGGACCTCACACCCATGAGCATACAGGAAGCACAAATTGGACTCAGTGGGTTATCAAAAACAAACATGTATGCAGTTTTCAAATTAAAAAAACATATTAAAAAAGGAATCACTGACATATATTAATAGTAATAAGAAGTATGTTCTGTACAGTAAGCAGTTGACATACTAATTCCTAAGGCATAATTATCCCCAATTTTTATAATGTATATCACACTTATATAACCTGTCCACAGCTAACAGATGATGAAGCCAGAAAGGGTACCTAGTCAGTCTGGAGCACAGGCCACGCTCTTCATCATGCCATCACTCCAATTCAGATGACATTTCATTGCTAAAACTTCCACTACGACTTTTATTAACTTATGGTCAGGGAAGACTATCCTATCTACCCCAAGGTGAAGTTTACTAAATGTGTAGTCTTTGATCTGAATTCATATTAAAGACCCCATACTAACCATATGTTGACAGCTCCCGCTATAAAAGCATTTAAACACAAGACTGTCAAGGAGGAGAGCTTATACCTACCAACCACCACCCACAAGTTCTGAGAATGTATTTAAACAATAAAAATACAACTAAGTGTCAGCATGAGGCATCACAGAGAAGCACTGATGTCAAGATGGATATCTGCGACATGTAAGAGGTGACAGAAGACAGCTTTCTGCAGTTGACAGCAAACCCCTCCAATCCAGCAAATGTAGAAGAAACGTGCGGGCCAGCACAGTACCGACAGTGCAGCATTTTCCTCCTTAGAACACTTACTTCCCTTCTCTCAGACACCCCTCCTTTCCTTCTGCCTCTGTGGCTAGGAAGATGGTGAGGGCCAGTGGCTATCACTGGGAACAGAAAAGCTGCAGAGGCAACATCCCTAAATGCTCTCTCCAAACCCTAATTTGTTTGGCCAACTTTATTTTGAGACAAGGTCTCTCTGTATAGGCACTGAACTCTATGCTGGTCTCAAACTCAGAGATCTCTCCCAAGTGAGGCAATTAAAAGCATACATTTGCTCATTTTTAATAAACTATTTTAAACATCTCTAAGCTAGTTTCAGTATTCTCTTCTTCAAGGTAATACTCACTTTCAAGCCAAATTAAGCTAAATGACCGCAAAAACTAACAGCTGAAACCACAATAAGACAAGCAAACATTAGCTCTATCTACCAACACAGGGAAGGAATAAACAGTTTCAAATCAGCAGGAAGGAGACATTCCAGACTAGCCTGTTGGAGGTGGTTAGGCAACAGAAACAGTGGAAATGCCTTACTCGAACAGAATGTTCTTTGCCTCATGCCTCAGCACTTTCCTGCATTTCCTCTGTGTTATATATAAAATCTTTTTGATAACTGCTGTTGAAATTAAAGAGACAGATGGCTTAGTCAGCCAGTTAGCAAACAGGAGACATCTGCTATAGGGAAGACATCAATAAAATATTTCCTATTAAAGATGTGGCAGTAGTCACTTCACTAATATTTCTGGATAACTCAGGTCTATTTCTACGTGATACAAACCATATTGTGTGATTACAACATACTGTTATATTAAGGAACGGGTTGGCAAGATGCCTCAGCAAGTAAATGCTCTTGCTGCCAATTCTGATAACCTGAGTAGACCCTGGACTCACATGGTGAAGGATAAAACCAGTTCTCACAAGTTATTCTCTGATTTCCACAATGGTAGTCAATGTCCATCCCCACACTGTGTATACTCTTAAATAATTAAATATAATAAAAAAATTTAAAAGGAAATATAATAAGAGCTCAGCAAGAAATACTGTACTCCAACTAAACTTACAATTTTCAATATGTAGGCTCACTTGGGGGAACCAAAATGCTAATTTAAGGGCATAAAAGTAAATACAGTGCCACTCGGTTAGTCATGGTACACTGAATGTATATAGTTACTTTTGCCCCCTCTTACAATCTACAAGAACAAAAGTCGTGACCCTCACTAAAGAGCAAGAACAACATCCACCAGAAATGCCTCGTCAGTGAGAACAAAGACTGCTTGAGCCCCAGAGGCCCAAACAGAGTTGAGGACAGAACTGTAACGTGTCTGAACAGTTAAGTTCCCAGGTTGACTTTGCTGTTCCAACTCAGACACCCAACAACATTCCTCTACCCCAGCAGCAGAGGGCTGGGGCTTACTACAGGTAAGAAGACCCAAGAGGTTCTCCAACTGAAACTTGGGCATGGGACAAGACAGAAAAGGAAGGTGCTGTATGCAAGAGGAAGGAAAAAGATAAACTGATCTGTAAAAATGCTCTTATCAGCACTCTGGAAATCAATCCTTCCTTCCTTCCTTCCTTCCTTCCTTCCTTCCTTCCTTCCTTCCTTCCTTCTTCCTTATATTTCTTTCCAATTTGTTGCAGCATGTTTCAAGGTGTATTCTAACAATTTTCTAAATTTCATTGTTATCTGTCATAATGTCTCTCCCTTTGCCTCTAATTTTATTAATAAGTCTTTTCCCTCATTTGGTTTGGCAAAGAATTTGTTCATCTTTATCATTTTTCAAAGAATCAACTTTTTCACTGATTTTTTTTCTGTTTCCATTTCATTAATTTCGGCCCTGATCTTATTTCTTTCCATCTTTCTACCTACTGATTTTGGGTTTGGTTTATTCTTGTTTTCCCAAAACCATAAGGTATATGTACATATTTTTAAATTTTTATTTGTTTTTACATATATGAGTGCTTGGAATGTATGTATTTCTATAAACCACATGTATTCCGGGTACCCATGGATATTAGAAGAGGGCGACAGATTCATTGGAACTAGAGTTTTAGATGGTTGTGAGCCATCATGTGGGTTCTGGGAACAATCAATGCTCCAAACCACTGAGCCCCTGTGAGGTGCATCTTTAAGCTATTTGAGTTTTGCTTTTCTCTTGGACTTTCCAGGCAGGACACGAAGGTGCTATATAGCTAGGGATGAACCTAAATCCTTCTGAAAAAAAAATTTAAGGCTGTACATGTTGGCACAGGTTTTTAATCCCAGTTCTTGGGAGACTAAGGGAGGCAGATCTCTGTGACTTCAAGGCCAGTTTGGTCTGCAGAATTCAGTTCCAGGACATCTAGGGTGACAGAGAGAGACCCTCTCTAATAACAAGTAAGCAAAACTGAAGACTTTTAAGTTATGTGTGTGTTTGTGTATGCATGTGTGTGTGCCACAGCATACATACGAATGTCAGAGGGTAACTCCTGGGAACTACACTCCTTTTTGCCTCTACATTTTGAGTGCCAAGATTATAGAAAGGCACTACCACAGCATGGTAGCATGAATGAGAATGGCCCCCCAGACTCATATATTTGAATGCTTGGTTATCTGAGTGTCAACTGAGTAGCACTACTTGAGAGAGATTAGGAGATGTGGCCTTGTTGGAAGAAGGGTCACTGCAGGTGGACTTTGGTTTTCAAAAGTCCAAGTCAGTCCCAGTATCTCTCTGCTGCCTGTGGTCCAGTTGTAGAGCTCACAGCTGCTTCTCCAGCACTTTGTCTGCCTGTGTGCTGCCATGCTCCCCACCATGATGACAATGGATTAAACCTCTGAAACTAAACCAGTCTCAATCAAATGGCTTTATTTAAAAAAAAAAAAAAAAGTGTCTGTGGTCATGATGTCTCCTCACAGCAACAGAATACTGCTAAGACACATGGCCACTTTTATGTGGTGCTGAATATCAAACCCAAGGCTTTGTGCATGACAGACAAGTACTTCTATCAACTGAGCCACAGCCTTAGACCTTGCTCAGGTTTTGTTGTTGTTGTTTGTTTTGGGACAGGATCTCACTTTGTAGCTTCGGCTGATCTGGAGCTCACTGTGTAGAGTAGACGGGGCTTGAACTCAGAGATCCACCTTCCCCTGGAAAGCTGTCATTAAAGGTACTCACTGCCACATTCCTCCCTCCCAACTCCTTAACATAGGCACTTAGAACTGGCTTCTCCTATAGATTTGGGCATGCTGTGTTTTCATTTTCATTCTTTTTTCCCCCTTTAGGAAATAGACAGGGTGCTGGGCGCAGCACTGCATGCCTATAATCCCAGCACTCTGGAAGCAGAGGCAGGAGCAGGCAGATCACTATGAATTCGAGGCTGAGGCCAGCCTGGTCTACAAAGTGAGTGTAGGACAGCCAAGGCTACACAAAGAAACCCTATCTCACCACCACACCCAAATAGATAGATAGACAGACAGACAGACAGACACAGATAGATAGATACATACATACATAGGCAGATAGATAGACAGGGGCTTGTGAGACAGCTCAGTGAGTAAAGGTGTTTGTCATCAAACCCAAGTTCAATTTTCTAGGTCCCACATGGTGGAAAGAGAGAACCAACTCTCTAAAGTTGATCTCTGACCACATATGCATGTGACATACATGCATAATAAGACAAATGTAAAATAATAATAATAAAACCTGACAGTTGCTAAGGAAAGACAAAGATACAAACATCTTGGAGTATTCCAAACAAATACAACTGATTCCTGCCCAGTCTCCCTACAGAGAGGTTCAGCACTAGGCAAACTATATCTAAGTAGGCAGGCCTGTCAATCAGCTTTATAATAATCCATTCTTAAATATGACTGCATAACACTTATCAGTCATTTAGGGAAGTTTCATATGTAAACAGCAGAAAAAGGCTGGAGAAAAGACAGTCTGAAACAAAAGGACTGTAGTTAAGCATGTGGGTAGTGTCTTCCATCAAGGCTGACAGTGCCACTCTGGAAAGCTGTGACCACTTCTTTTTGGAAACAAGCAGCATACACCCTCAAATGCTACTGAAGCTCTTTCAGATACCTCCTCTCAGCCCCCACGTCACAAACAGCCTTCCATCTGCCGGGTGGTAGGCACAATGGCTTTAAAAGGCTGAGGTGTCATTCATCCCTTCTTGTGGTTTTAAGAATATTCACAAAGTACTGCCACCATCACTATCTAACTCTTGAATATTTAAGATCCTAAGGAGAAAATGTGATTTTTTTTTTAACAAGTTAAACTCAAGTCCCAATTAAACAAAAATGTGTCTGACTGTTCTTCCTAGGTACGTTTTATGTATTTCAAAAAAAACACAACCCTAATGTCTCTTACTTAAAACCACCATTTCATGGATAAAGTTTACTTACTAAATCCTTAAAAGTAATTCAGAAACTCTGAGGAAACACAGCTTTCTAATCATATAGAAGAGAAGCAGAGAATGATATTCAAGAATTCTCCTTGTTTACACATGGAAAAGAATGAAAGTCTTCCTTCTACTCCCAAATCATCAAAAGACCCAAATACAACTGATCCCTGCCCAGGCAGTGGGGGTGCATGCCTTTAATCCCAGTACTTGGGAGGCAGCAGAGGCAGGCACAGCTCTGAGTTCCAGGCCAGCCTGATCTACAGAGCCAGCTCCAGGACATCCAGGACTACACAGAGAAGCCCTGCCTCACCTCTCCTGTGCTGTAGCGCCACTGCTGTCTATGTGCAGTCACATCGCCCTGATCTTTCACTGGGCGCCGTGTGCTCTGAGCTCAAGCTTCACTTCACTTCTTGTGTCCCTGGAGCTTCCTGAGCAGTCGCTCCTCACACACACACCTCTGCGCTTTCCCATGCTCTTTTCCATATTACCAGGAGGAACTCAATGCGTGCTTGCTGAAATAACTACAGGTGCTCCAGAACTTACCTTACAAAAACATTTATTTATTTTTTTTTAAGATTTATTTTTATTTTATGTGTGCAAGTGTTTTGGCAAATGTATGTCTGTGCCCAAATGCACCTGCAATGCCTTGGAGGCCAGGAGAGGGTGTAGGCTGCATTGGAACTGGAGTTAAAGAAGGTTGTGAGATACCATGTGGGTGCTGAGAACTGAATCCAGGTCTTCTGTAAGAGCTGCAAGTACCCTACAAGTCATCTTCCCAGCCCCATCAATCACTAGTCTTACACACTTGTCAAATGTACTCACCATGTATCTCCCCTGGCACTGAAGAACGAACTTAGGGTCTTACACTTGCTGGGTAAGTGTTTTACAACTGAGCTACCACCCCAGACCTAAAAAACACTACAGTTTAAATGGAATACAGAATTACACTTTCGAGTTTCTTTATTCTCCCCACCTCAAAACAGGGTTTCTCTGTGTAGCCCTGGCTGTTCTGGAACTTTCTCTGTAAACCAGTGCTGTGTGTGTTAAATTATGTGTGTCTATGTGAGTGTGTACAGGTGCCCGTGGAGGTCAGGCCCTGAAACAAGAGTTACAAGTGGTTGTGAGCCATTTAGTGTGAGTGCTAGGAACCAAACTTGGGTCCTCTGCAAGAGCAGCAAGGGCTCTTTACTGTTGAGTCATCTCTTCAGTCGTATGTTTTCAGGTGTTTTTTTTTTTTTTTTAATTAATTCTGTTCTCTGACATTTTCAAACATGCATATAATGCATCCAGATTACTCTCTCTCAGCTCCATCCCAGCCCTATGAACACCTCCCCCACCTTACTAGGTAGTCCTTTTGCTAGACTGAGACTTTGGTTTAGTTTTGTGATCTGTTTATAGTTTCGTCAGGACCACTTTCTGTTTTTCGTAATTCTCAATAGCTCACTGGGTGGATCCTATTGGATCCAGTGGCTGGAGAAATGTTAACACTGGGTCCAGTAACAACACTGCAAAGTCTTCATTAAACAAGGAAAACAGTACTCACCTTCTCTCAATGACCCTCCAGAGCTGGCGCCAAAAGTCCAAATTTCGTTCGAAGGGCGTCAGTATCAACTTTTGTTCCTCTTCTAGCCTGGATTTAGAATGAGAAGTTTACATCTTTGACTGACCATAACAGCTTTAAAGAACCATAAATACTCAAATTTATTACATTAAGAAGATACATATCAAATACTATAAATTATTGTTTATGGTACTGGGGATTATACCTATGGTTTTGTACATACCAAAGGGCTCTACCAAAACTACATCCCAGCTCTCTTTTACTTTTGTACGCTAGGAAGACCTTGAGAACTTGCAATCTTCTGTCTCAGCCTTCTGAGAAGCTGTGATGACAGGCCTGCACCATCAGGCCAGGCTCTGTCCAATTATTTTAATGTCTATTGTTGAGTCAATACAAGAATAAAATGTAATCATATTATAGTTCACCAAAGTCAAATTTTATCCTAAGCTCTAGGGTATTTCTCTCTCAAAACTCTTACTGGAAGAATGCTCAGAGGAGCACCTCTGGGCCACAGAAGGGAACTAAAATAGGAAAGACTGGGGCCAGAGAGATGGCTCAGTGGTTAAGAGTACTGGCTCCTCTTACAGAGGACCCACATGGCAGCTTATAACCACTTAGAACTGCAGTTCCATGGGAATTCATGCCCTTTTCTGACCTCTGCTGGCACTGTATGCACATGGTACACAGACACATACTCAGGCAAACACACACACACACACACACACACACACACACACACACACACACACAGAGCAGTAAAAAAGACCAGGAACAGATCAGAATAACCACTAAGTGCCTTTGTGTACAGTGCATGCAGCAATGCTGTCTGTGCACACACCAAAATGCACTTGTAAACACTACCACCCTCTCCCTCACTTAAAATTGCATTTTATTTACTTTGTGTGGATGTTTAGAGGCCAGTGGACAACTTGTGGGAGCTGGTCTCTTTCCCTCATGTGGGTCCCAAGAACTGAACTCGGATCACCAAGCTTGGCAGCAGGTCCTTCTACCTGCTGAGCTATCTTGCCAGCCCCAGTACTTCTCTTTTAAAGAAATTAAAACTTCAGGAGACAAGTGGCAGTGAAATCTAAAATGCCTGAACCCAAGGCTTCCAGACAGATCTTTAAGTCCAATACTCACCGGACAAGCTGGCGTCTCCATTTTAGGAAGTTATCTTTCTCTGCCTGTTTCAGTTCTTCTGGGCTAGTTTTTCTGTCCCAATTTGGTCTGAAACAATCATAGACAGAAGATACTTTATATATAAGGTACCAAAATAAGAGAGAATCTGAGCATAAATGGTAGCTGAGAAGGCAGCAGGAAAATTATGAACTACTAAGAATATCGTCAGTGGCTATGTCTTCTTTTCATGTTTTTTTTTAATTACTTTCCTTATTATTTTATGTATATGACTGTTTTTGACTGCTTGTATGCCTGTACACTATGTGCATGTCCGGTGCCTGAGGAGGCTTAAAGAGGGCATCTGATGCCCCAGGACTGGAATTACAGATAGCTGTGAGCTGCCACATGTGTGCTAGGAACTGAATCTGGTCCTTTGGAAGAGCAGCCGGTGTTCTTAACCACTCTTAGTCCAGCCTCATTCTGTCTTCTAGCGATCTACAGTCTTTTTCAACTTACCTCCTTGGTATACACAAGAACTGCCTGTTTTCTTCATGGAGTTTCTTAATTCTCTGGCTCTCCTCAGAAGACAGCAGTCCAGTTCTAGCCTCAGGGAGCACAAACTTAATATTAAGCTTCTCTGTTCACAGAAAAGAAAAGTATTATTAGCCAAGATGCAATTTAGAGGCTGAGGGTGTACCTTAGTTGCTACGGTGCCTGCCTGGCAAGCATAAAGCCCCAAGTTCTATCCCTAGCACCTATACCTGGGTTTACTGCACACACCTGTGATCCAGCATTTGGAACTGGTAGGAGGATCAGGAGTTCAGGAGTTCAAATAGAGTTCAAGGGTAGTCTGACATATATATAAGATTCTGACTCAAAATCCTAAAAAGGCAATTTAAGGTACTCAATGCTGATTATTTTGATAAGCTTGAAAACTAATCACTTCCTAACACAGAATTTAAACCTTCTTAGATTAATTTTTAAATGAACTTTTCTACAGAGGTAACTTTGTAAGAAAGATCTTCACTATCTCAATAAACTTCAAAAATCTAGGGACTTTTTCTGGTACCATGTTACAAAATTCTACAAGTAAATGTATTTCCTGGAAACAGAAACAATGGGATAGGATTATAAAGATTCATTTTAACCAATTTCCACATTTTACATAGGCAGAATAGTTTTAAGCTAATGGAAATCAGTGTAGAGGCAAAGATTTCGCAAAAGGTGTGTTCCGTTTAGAACCACTGAGTTAGAATAGGTATAACTGATACAAGACAGGTATTAATGGTCACCATTAGTGGCTATTTCAAACTTAAACAAACAAAAACCAAGTGATCCTGCATGAACTAGTAATGGAGAGAAGTGTGCTCTAGGGCCTTAACCCTTGGGCCGCTGGGGCAGTTCCTGTTTCACTGCACAGCCACTACCTAGTCTGCATGAGAAGACAACCCCCAAGGAGGCAGCTACACTTTCTCCTGAAGTGGCAAGTGAAGGCTCCCTGCAGAACATCTTCAGTAACAATCTTCTTCACCCTGAGCAAAGACTGCAGCCTGTTATTCCTACCAAACCACCACAACACCAAGTAAGACCCTGCACAATCTTGTCACCCACACTACTGTTAACCTACCAGGACTCTCAGCCATATCAACTGCACTAACAGCTAGCCACTCCCCATATGTGATGCTTCTGTGGTGTTAACTGTTCCTTCTAAGGGTTACGGCCACTGCACCCCCACTGAGCCCCTTGATTTCTGCCCTTTTGCCCAACCTACTGTGCACCTGTGTTGATTTTCCCTCTTTTGCTAGTTAACTCGAAGTACTTGTACACCCACTCCTTAACCTCCACGGAATTCCTTACCCTAAACACTACCTATCTGTCTTTCTTGCTCAGGCATCATGAGAGACCACAGTAAACGGCACCACCAGTGGCTACCTGGCATGGCAAATGGCCAGGCCGAGGACTGCTCAGACCCCAGCCTTCTCATGGAAGGAGGAACTTGATCTAGCTCTTGGTTTATCTGCCCCGTCCCTAAATGGCAACTTTTCTGCCTGTACCTCCTCCTGAGGATAGCCTTGTCACCTACCTTATGACAGGGAAGTAGAAGGTGCTAGCTGTGCATCCTTGCTCCACACACCCCTAGCTGTGCACCCATCTTCAGTACCCTTCGTCCTGCCTCAGAGGAAGCTGCCCTCCCCCCCCCCTTGCACAAGCCGACTCTTCCAACTGTTTGTAACCCCATTCTATTCTCAATTCCCTTCAGACTCAAGCTGCCCCACCTCCTCATTCATCTGTTTTGTTTTCACTACACAATTGCATGGTAAGCTCTCTTTGTAAACCCTCCCTCTGACCCACCTTCGACCTTCTCTCTATTCTTGCCACTCTAACTCTCTTTTGAATTACACATGTAGTATATAGCTTTCCAAATTGCTTTTTATAATAGATGCATGGTGGTGTACACCTTTAATACAAGAGGATTAATCTCTGAGTTCAAGGCCAGCCTGGTCTACAAAATGAGTTCTAGGACAGCCAGGGCTACACAGAAAAACCCTGTCTCAAAAAAACAAAACAAAACAAAACAAAATAAAATTCAGCTTTATGGGGGCAATCCACATTTAAAGAGAAGCCTCAAAGAGAAATGTTTACCCTTTAAGTACTTCCCATTCCCTACTATCTTTGTATATATTCCTCCTCTGGACTTTTCATGGTTGTGAGCCTAGCCTTTAACGGCTGAGCCATCTCTCCAGCCCTGGACTTTTCATATAAATAGAAAATATAATCATGCTTATATTCTTTCCTGTTGATGGGCACTGAACCATGTCATTACTTGCCTAAAAACCTATAAAGGAACCCTACACCCTTACCCACTTTTCTTAAAAGACAAAAAGCCTCATGATGTATTTCTTTCTGGAGAGTCTGGAACTTGTATGCAGAGCAGGCTAATCTCCAAACTACTGACATTTGCCCACCTCTGGCTCCTGAATTCAGGGGTGAAAGGCAAGTGTCACCACACTTGGCCTTCTCTTTTATTCTCCCTGGAATTTGGTCCTTGCCCACCTCCTCAGTGTCTGCTCATTACAGCCTGTCCCTGCACCAGCCAAACCAAACTTGTAACACTTTTCTGGACAAAGTAGACTGCCATTTCACTTCTTGTCTGAATGCCTCTGCCTGCCTATTTGTCTTTTGCTATGTAGTCCAAGCTGGGAACTTAATATCTGTAGCCTAGGCTGGCCTCAGACTCCTGCCTTAGCCTGCCCAAAGGCTGGGATCACAAGTGTGCACCACTATAAGTGGCTGTCTTCTGTCTTACGATCTACTCATCATCCAATCTTCTGTCAGATAGAAGCTATTATGAGCTCCATCTTTTATGGCCTGTAGTTATTTACAGACTTCTTTCGATACATATAAAAGAAAATTTTAAATAAATAAAATGTATCTTTAAAAATCATTCTTGTGAGTAGCCAGCACAATGTTTGAGAGTAACTGGTGCTAAATAAAGGCATTTTGAACAAATGAATGAATGACTTGCTAGGCAGCATGACATTTATAATAGTAAGAACACCTACCATCTGTCAGCTAGAACACATGCACACATAGCACTGACTAAACACAAGGTCCCTGACAGCAGCAAGGATATGTTTTTAAGTTGATACAATGATGTACACTCGGAAGGGTTTTTGTTCTGTGTTTGAACCGTGGTCTCACTCTGTAATCTTGGCTGGCTTAGAATCAATACAGATCAGGCTAGCCTGATTCATAGAGATTTATCTGCCTCCAGAGTGCTGGGATTAAAGGCATGTGCCACCATACCTGGCATCTTTAGGCGTTTTTTTAGAGCTGAGTTTAAAAGACCAGTGTGGACTTTACCTTACAGCCCTGGAGTTTTCCCATACTGCTCTTGGATTAAAGACAGCCTAGTATGACGTGAGCAAGACGGCAGTGTAACCAGTGTCACAGGCACTAGGTAAATAGTACACAACTTACCAGCTACGAACTCAGTCCCTGCAAGCTCTGCAGTTGCAAGAAAGTCCTCAAGGGAGCTCTGTTCCGTCACTGACTGAAGATTAAGACGACCCCAGTCATAGCCGTCATTGAGTTCACTTGTGTGCAACTATGAACAGAACACAGCGGAAAGAGTAAGGCAGCTCTCTGCTTCTCTTGGCACCCAAACAGCTCTAAACTTTGCTGGTCTACGTTCTCACGGTGGTTTGACCCTTCTAGAATGTACATTACTCATAACTAAACCTAGTTAGGCTGGGGTCATAGTTCAGCAGAGTACCTGCCCATAGCCTTCAAGGGCATCAACCAACAATGTAAAAATCCAAGCTCAAATATTTAAATGAATACTTTCTTACCTCAGCAAGGGCACTTCCCTTTCATCATTTAATTCCATTTTCTGACTGTTTTGAAGGAAATTTTATTGTATCCTCACTTTTAAGAAACTGGGGTTTAAATAGGCAAATTGATTTGCTAACAGCTGTAAATTAAACAGAGGCGTAGAACTAGAACCCAGACTGTCTTGACTCTGCCAGACAGTTAAGTAAAAAAAAAGTTTCCCGTAAGGACCCATGAGAAGGAACATTTTAAAGTCAGGCATGGTAGTGCATGCTGTGATTGCAGAAGGCACTAAGGGCCATCCTGAACTGGGTAGAGATCTGCTCCCCACTTCCCCTTAGTTTCTTCTGTCTCAAACCCCAAGGGATGGAAGACTATCTTATCTGGGATGACCACTGGGGGGTGGGAAGGAGCTAGTTGCAAATGCTGACAAGGTTGATTTTTCTCAAACAACCGGACTTTGATAAACACCATCCTAAATTATATGCTTATTACAGATACAAATAGTTTTTAAAAAAGAAATTAAGGGTCGAAAGCTTAGAACTAACAACAAAAGAAAATCGGAATACGGATTAGAATTTGATTCTTTATATTTAAATTCAACCTCTCCACTATTTCCCAAAGGCTAGTACATTAATAAGCCACTACAGCATCAGCTGAAATGACTAGTGATCAACTGTCCAGACTTGAATCCTGAGACTCTCATGTGTGTTCCTCAGACTATCTGAGGAAAAGGAGTGGTGCGACAGATATGCAGTCAAATATTAGCACCAGGGATAAACAACTTCAGCCTAAGATCTTAAGAACTCAGAATGTTCACAAGAGAATTAAACTGACAACTAAAACAATAAGCTCAAATCAAACCATTTATATTCACTTTTTTTTTTTTTTTAAAGGACAGTGGCCCTGGCGGGTCTTAAATTTATTATGTAGACCAAGCTGGTCTCAAACGCTTAGAGATCTGCTTGCCTCTGCCTCCTGGGTGCTCCGATTAAAGTAATTTCTATACTTCATTTTTTTTTAAGGCTCCTCCTAAGATCTTCTCCAAGCTTCTAGAGACAATGTTAACTCCTTTAGCTAAATAAAACCCGAGTGGGTAACACAGGGAAAGCAGCACTACGAATTAAGCTGTTTTTCTGATGGGATCAACCATTGCTAGAGGATCCATCCTCTAGATAATTAAAACTGGAAAACTGAAAGAGCCGAGCGTGTTGGCCACAGCTTGTAATCCCAGTACTCTGCAAGCAGAGACAGGAGGAAGGCAGACCTGGGCCAACCTTGGCTGCATACGGAGACTGTTTCAAAGATTTTAGATGACAAGTTGTTTTCTTTTTAGAAAATTTCCAATAGCGCCCATGACTTCCAGAGCAAAGATCAAACATAGGCAAACATTCCGACATGAACGTCTCTTCACATTTTCCTTTCCATTTCTTCACACAATAGTCTCGTTTTAAAGCCCCACTCCCACTTTAAAGCCCCACTGTGCCCTGCGCCTTGCTGGGGCCTGCTTCGAAATCCTGTTCAGGAATGACTTCTGACTCCAACTTTTGTAGCATTGGAGGTTCTCAGAACGAGACGGAAAAATATGGATGATACTGATTTTCTTACCCAGGAGTCAGTATGACGGTGGCTGCGGCTTCGCTGGGTCTGCTGTCGGATAAGTATCCGGCCCAGAGACCCACCACCCGGCGCTCTCCTCCGGCCCATAGCAACACACCAGCGGCACGAACCTCCTCTGTGTGTGGGGTTTCTGATTTCCCTGGCTATAAATTAGGAAGTGACGTGTGGGCGAGTCCAAGTGGTCCGGGTGCGAAGTACAGCTGGGGAAATGGAATGACTTGTTTCAGAATGATTTTGGTAGATCTCGAGTTTGACAATGTTATAGAGAAAAAAAAATTAAAAATTGTCCTGGGTACTTCTTCATAGCTACTCCCATGACTGTTTCAATTTTGATAGACTGACCTACTTAAGACAATGGTACATTCCAGATTTGTACGTCAGTGCTTAGGTCCGGCGGGAAACTGGGACAACTGGAAAATATGCCCGCCCAGGTTTACAAGACTAACTCCGCCTTCCCCGCGGCTTTCGTCAGGAGGGGGCGGGGACTCGGGTGAAAGTCGCTCAGTGGCCCTGGGTGGCAGGCGGTTTCTGATGCCGGTGTTTCGCCTGGCAGTTAAATCGGGTTTGTTTTCCTAGTATTCTCCAGACGCGACGCGGAGAGGAAAGTTCCCTCATGGGTGAGAGTTTGGAATGTGCAATTGAATAGCATTTCCAGAACTTGAAAAATGAGATCACTCTTCTGCTTTAGTGGGGGGGTGGGGGGAGAGGAGGGACGGGACAGAGAGAGGAAACTTTTCACGTTCCAATGAGCATTATATCAACATTTTCCTATAATAAAAATTAAAGGGAAATTAGTGAGCTGGATCCACTAATAGATATTCACAGAGATTCACCTTCTTCTGCCTCCTGAGTGCTGGGTTTAAAGGCATGAGCCCCCACGGCACTGGCTAAAGTGGAAATTGAGTCAATATTGGTTGGGGAGCGTCAAAGGAGCATCAACCTTGTAAGACTAATTAGCAGCAGCTATTCCAAGCTAACAAGTAAATCACAGCTTATTCTAAGGATTCTGGTTACTAAGAATAAGAACGAGTGTTATGCCTTCAATGTGGTGCATGCCTTTTAATTCCAGTATTCAGGAGGCAAAGAGAGGCTGATCTCAGTGAGTTTGAGGACAGCCTGATCTGCCTAGAGATGCCCAGGCCAACCAGGGTTACACCGTGAGGCCCTGTTTCAAAACAAAACAAACAGAATGATCATAATTTTTATCCTACAAATGTAACAAATAAAATAACTCTGCATGATCACTGAATACCCCCCGACCCCCAACACATACACACCCCAACTGAACAATACACATGAGAAGCCAGCCAGATAATTGTTCAAGGAGAAGGGTAAGGAGGTAAGCAATCGAGGGTGCTGATGAGGCAGGAGCAAAGGACACAGATTCAAAGTGAAGTGCAAGTGATGAAAGGAGCAATGATCGTGGTGATGAAGGATTGAACCAGGTGCTGCATGCTGCCAGAAGGAGGGGGTTGCAGTCATGAATCAGCCCAGGTCCCTGCCCTCTGGCTGCAGGAGCTGTTCCACCCACACACTCTAGCGAACAACACAGCCCAGCCATTGCTTTGTCAGGCCACCGGGTACGCTCATCTACCAGAATTTCGCCTGAAGACTTGTGAGATCCTCCCAGTTCCCAGAGCTAAGCCCTTCCATGGAAACCAGGCTTTTCCGAGAAGCTGATTCCTGGGTTAGGCTGCATTGATTTGGGGATTGGAAGCCTGTGTCTACCTTCCAAAAAGCAGCCCAAGGAGTGCTCCTCATTCATGGTGTTGCATAATGAGTGATATACTGAACATATGTAGTTACAAGCCCTGATGCCCACACCCAGGACCAAATTTTGGAATAGTTTTCAGCAATCTACCTCCTCACTGCCAAGCTCCAGGGGTTCACATCTGTCAGGGGAGGGAGAAGAAAAGCAAACTGGCTTCCACTTTTGGCTTTATCACCTCTTGGCCCCAAAATGTGTCATTGGCTGACACGTTCCCAAGGTAAACATACAACCCCATTCTTCCATCTCTCACTTTCTACACACCTTATTCGGGAACAGCAAAGCAGTTTGCGTAAGCTTGAGGGTTGTGAAAATTATCGTCTGTTCTTCTTTGTGGAGTGTCATTGGATCAGGAGGGGAACTCCCTCCTATTATTTACTGTCCTCAGTTTATCTCTGTTGGAAATGGGTGGGTTCCCACATGTCGATGAGCTTAAATAACTTTACAGACATTTATTGTTGGTTATTATTAATGAATGATTCATGCAATAAAAACATTGATTGTTTGAGTAAGTTGTATACGCAAGAGAACATTTCAAGGGGCTCTTGTTTTGATTATACCTGCTATAGTACATACATACATACATACATACATACATACATACATACATACATAC